TCTTATTTTTACAAGAGTAATGTTAAATTTTCTGTGTTTACTAATTTTCAATTTCATTCCAGGGTGAGAGGAAGCTATTGTAGTCTCCTTCTCTTCATCTACAAGTATTGTTGTAGATCTATGGGAAAAAACTGAAAGAATCTATCATATCTCCTTGTTTCAGAGTTTTTTGGTTCACCAGATCATGCTCACCACCAGAGATTCCGAGGAACAGATGCAACCTCCAGTTCAGCTGGGAGAGGAATTGGAGCAGTATGATTCAAAGAAGATGGAAATCAAGGGTCAGATCTATCATATTTCTCAGAGAAGGTAATTTTCATAGTGTTTTATGTTTTCTGGGTAGGTTTAATTTCATCGAACTTTCTATGTAAAGCTTTGAATTTGAATTTTTAGACTTTCGTTGTGGAAAGTTGTGAAACTTTTGGTAGAGGAAGAAAAAGAGAGTTACCGGTGGCAGAGTATTTAGTTTTATGCTAAATTAGTCATACTATATATATATATATCAATGTGTGAAATTTATCAAAGCCTTCTTTCAATATAAAGCAAGGAGTAAGCAAGCTTCTTTCCGACCAGACTGACCTGGCAATTATCTTCCTATAGATAGCTCAACTCAATCTACAACTTTTGACTTCTAATTGATTGAATCTCAATCCATTTAACAATGGCTAGCTTTATTTGCACTTTGCACTTAAAGCTCCCACGGACCTTAGAACTTTTTTGCGTTTTTCGCCTTTGATGTGAGTAGGTCATGTGGAAGCAAACAAAGAAGAAGTTACAAACAAGACTACCATATATATTTAGTTCTACATGTATATGTTTGCCTGCAGATGGTCTGAGTTAAGAGGGAAGAGAAGAATGAAGGTTAGATATTAGGATCAGAAACACGTGAGAAGCATATGACGTTTAGTCTCTTGAGTCTAAGTTCAAATAATAGTGGACTATTGTGAGCCTTTTTCTCCTTTACAATACTTAGGGACATTCTTAAGCCCTTTTCGTTCAGAGTATGACGTTAACAACTCGCATATAACTCATTTATCTTGTTTTTAAGAAAAGAAGAAATCCTATTTCTCACACAAGAATTATATATTTTCATTATCAAATTTTAATGAAACTAAAATACCTGCAGACACGCCATTAGATTTGTGTTACCATTCGGGAGATTTCTTGTTCTTTTTCTCTTTTCCTTTCATAAATGTAAATGTTATGAATACTTGCAGACACGTCATTAGATTTGTGTAAATTTAATTTATGTCACTTAAATCTTGACGTAAAATCAAATTAGATGATTTGAAAATTTTCAAAATAATGCAATTGACATATTTCAAACGGCTAAATCTCTTCCTGATAATGAATGCATGTTCAATAGAATTATTTTTTTCACAACTTCCTCTAATCTCATTTTAAAGATGTAGCTGATTGATTTCCATTTATATCATTTTACTGGGAACTGAAAGACAAGGTACATGGCTTGAAAATGAAAAGGTAAAAGATCATCTTCAAAAATAAAAAATTAACTGGATTTAAAAAAAAAAATAACATGTACTACATAATCTTTCAATGTTACTTTAGTGTGTATAATAAATAACAGTAAGAGTCTCGTTTTCTTTGAATTCATAGACTTGTGAACATTATCAAATGTTTAGTTGGTCACTTCACTGATTAGACACTTAAAAGGATATAATCTGAGAATTTTACGAGAGTGGTTAGTTGAAGGAATATGAAAGTCAAGTAATTTAGAGAATCTACATCTCTTAAGTCTTCAAAGAAGAGAGCGCCGATCTTTACTAAAATCCTCTCTGAAAACAGAGAAATATTAAATATAATTCTATATCTATATTGCATAGAATATACTAGCCCATTTTAACTTTGATATTTTTAGAAAGAAAATTAAGTAATCAATTTTCATAAGCTGCTGTTCAAGTAATAGAAATGCACTAACTGAGGTGAATCTGAGAAAATGACGGACCTCACACAGTGTAGTAGGCCCACATAAATACTTTTTTGGACTGTCACTCTCCATATCACGTGGTCTATAGTTGAGGGGTTAACAACAAATGTCCACAATACCCCATAATTTAAGTGTTAAACTGAAAAATGTGAATAGTTTAGGGAGTTTAGAGGTATTAACTCAAAAGAAAATCTTACTTAGATTTTTCTTTTTGCATTTATCAAAAAAACAGGTAGGATAGTAAAAATGTTAAAGATTGTTGACTAGAATCAATTTACAGGTGGATGACATTTCCATTTCCATTTGACCAAGATTTCATATACAACTCTCACTCCTCATCAAAGCACACTAACATCCCACAATTTTCACCCAATATTTTTGTGCACATTGAAGTGAATAAATAATCTAAAGGTATGTCCTAAATCTCTCTGTCTTATCTTCTTCCTACATTCTCTAAGGTTGTTTTTCTGATGAATTCTTTACTCATGTCAGATTTTGATTCCAAGAGTTGTTGTGGGTGTTAAAGAAATTCGGTGTACACCTTGTGGAATTCTTTTCTCCTTTTTCTGGCTATTTGATTTTTGCCCATACAGATCTGAATTCAAGGTTCTCTAAATTTGTATATCTTGATTTTCCTGCGTTTCAACTATTAGTAATTTAGTGCAGTATGATAAAATGTGTGTTTTCTTGTTATTAACGTTTAACTCTTTGTCAAGGTTGGTTTTGATTTACTGAATTTTCATTTTGTTTAAATAACGATTCAATTTGAGTCCTGCAATCAAGAATGTATCTTCTTTTGATGTTTTTACAGACTTCTCATCGTTATCCAAATAAATTGTAACATCATTTTTTGACCTGCATAGGTTTAATACAAATGGTGCTTTGGTTATTCCGTCTTTTCTTTTCTCAAAAAGAGATTTGGATTTTGAGGCATCTAAGACATAAGCTCCATAGATAGAGGATTAGTAGTTTATATGAGAGAAAAGATTGTTGTGGGCTTCATATAAGCTGCTAAAACTCTAATGTTAGTTCCCTCTCTAAGGAAATCAGTCGGCAACTAGAACTTTAGAAACAAACATCAGTCATACTTCATTTGTTTGCACTTAATAGAGTTCTTAATCTGAAATGTTCAGATTCAGACAATTAAGTTCCTTTGTTTGTAAGATCTAAATCTTAATCATTCAAATTCAAACCATTAACTGTAGTTGATTTTGTTTTGTTTAAAACTGCTTAATGAATCTTATTAGGTCTGAATGAATTAGATCTGTAACAGAATCTTAATATTTTTCAAACTCGTTTAAAATAACACCATTTATTTCACAAAACCTTTCAGGCCTCTTGCTTCTCTCCGCCATGTTTTCACGCTTCTTCCCCTCCTTGCTCAAGCATATACCAATCTTTTTATTCTAGAATTGTTAAGTTTTCATAATATTTATCAGTATTTTTTTCTGATATTCACAACATTTTTGGGTGTATTGATGTTTATCAAGAACTTTTATTACCAAAAATATTTTTGTCTAGCGTTATCAACTACGCATAGACTCCAAGACATCTTGGCATCTCTTAATCTTTGTGGCATCACCAACTTACATTAAAAAAAACATAGGAACATGTTCCATTGATCATATGTTGTCTTGCAAAATAGCACCTATTGACCAACTACAATCCTTGCCTATTTAGGTTGTTTAGAGTACCGCAAGCATTGTCTAGTTTGATCCAGCTGAAGCACTTAATCTTCATAGATGGATTGGTCTTCCGTACTAACTTTCATGGCCATCTAACAGGTAGTTGACTTTGTGAGCATAGTTGTCTATAATATTCTTTCACTGTGAAATGTACTTTGCTTCCCCATCTTTGCCTATCTGGTTCACTTTCATCAATACTGTGTGCCTTCACCTTTGCTAACATTTCCATGTAACTCCCTTTACATTAAAATTAAAATCCTAGGTATTCCCTTTAGTCCAACTCTCAATGGTTTATGAAGTAATTATCCCAAAGCATCCCAATAACTTCTCTCAACTCAAGTCACCTCATGTTGCTTGGGTTCAATTAAATTGCATTCTTTAGCTTGAATCTAGCCCGAATGAATTATAGAAATTCATAGGGCTTCGCACTTGGTCTATGAGTTCCCATTTGGCTAATTTAAAAATGTAGTTTTCTGCACAAATTCATATATTTATAAGTTTATATACAATTCTTATGGTAAAGATACATTTACTTTAAGGCCCTCTTTTGTTTTTTATGTTTTAAGAAAATCAGAAAGGGTTTCGGTACACTGGCTAGAACTATGCTTGAAATTGTGTTATAAAATGTAAGTGAAAGAAAAAGAGGAAGCTAAGATTATATTTTTTCTGTTGAGGTAAAAAACTTCATCAAATGTATCAAGAAGATGCAGAAGAGAATTACATTTCAGCTTAGAAATTAATGAAAAGAAATTTAAGAGAAAAGCGTAATGAAATCTCAGAATTAAATTTGCTTACTTTAATTGAAAGACAATTGAAAAATGTATGGAAATTGGGTTGGAGGGATATTACTGATTTACCTTTGATGAGAAATCGTTGAGATCACTAGCCAAGTTAAGTTAGAGATGGTTGTAGTAGAAGTGACCATCCTCCATGTTAGGGAAGAATAACGACACTAGGTTTATGAAGTATGTAACGCGAGTTCCATTATTTTCTTTGATTTTGCATGATTTTGCTCTCAGTAATGATTATTTTTATCCAAAATGTGATACTTCCGTCAGCTATGCCAGCAAGAACTTAGTTCTCTGTCGTTATCTACAACCAACTTAAGTTTCAGGTTATATTTTTCTAGTTTCTTCACTTTTAAGCATCACAGTACTCCTTGGACGTATTTGCACTCTACTTTTCTATGTTTCTTTATATTGTCGGGCTTAACTTTTTATTCTTCATGGTCCGAGTATATTCACAAGAATACAAATGACAATAAGAAACATCAATTTGATGTCAGGAGTTCAAATATTCTTCTTCGATCCAGAGAAGTAATAACCTTTCTTGGTTCTACATGAACTTAGGATATTGAAGTTTTTATGATGTCGTTTCAAAAACTAGAAAAGATTGAAGTTGTTGTGATGGAAGAAGGAAATCCTCCTGTAAGGCGATGGGAGGACCTTAATATTGATATGTTGGTGAAGATATTCCAGTCCTTCGACCTTTTCCAGTTAATCTCTGTAATTCCTCAAGTTTTTCCTGCTTGGCAATCGACTTGTTCTGACCAACGTCGTTGGAAAACGCTGGACTTGTCAATAATGCAGTCAAATTTCATCAGAGTTTCAATATCGCCGTATATATATATATATATATATATATATATATATATCGACACTCCATCTCGTGAAAAATTGACCCACATCCTAAAGATTTGCTTGAACCTTAGTCGTGGAAACATACTGACATTGATCTTCCATTACAATTTGTTGTTGACAACAGTCAGTTGACTTATATTGCCAAGAGGTATTCCCCGGATAAACTTTAATCTTTCTATAGTATTGTACCTTAAATCAAGAAATTGTATAGAAAGCATCGCATCTGAGATAATTTGGATAGGTAATTAAATTTCCTCATTTTCAGGTGTCCACGGCTTAAACGCCTTGTTATGTCTGCTTGGGAAAAACTAGAAAAGCAAACAATATGTAGTGCTTTTCATGAATGGAAAGATGTTGAATCACTGACGATGCCTAGTTTAGAAGAACCTGCATATGTCATTGAGAAAATTGGAAGGAGTTGCAAAAAACTTTCCGAGCTCAAGATTATGACTCCCTGCGATATACTGTTTGCATCTGCACTGGTCTCATTTCTTCCAAACTTGAAAGTGTTGAGTGTGAGGTGTACGAAATTATCTAAACCTGCTTTGGTTATTCTCTTGGATGGGTTAAAAAAGTTGAAAGTGCTCAACATATCGCATTGCATAATTACTGAAGACCTTCCACCACCTGCACCGATGAAAATTCTGACCGAGCTTGATGAATCCATTCTGGAAAAAAGTGTCTAAGGTTAGACAAAATTCCTAACCTGCATGAGTGACTCGTGCATCATGTGTCAGCGCACTCGAAATGATGAAGGGTTCATGAGGTGATATAAGTATGCAGACCTCTTGAAAGTGGATGAGGTGAAGTCTCTTACAATTTGAAAACTTTAAGAATATTTTGCTTCATTAGTTGAAGGTGCAGTATAATGTGTAAAACTTGTGTGTATGAAACACAATTAAACCTTGATTTTAAGTATTTGTTATCTATTTATGTGTGTATGTATTGGCAAGTGTTGTTCACAAGCATTTGGGAGTATAAAGTAATTTTTAAAAAAGCACGTTTGAAAAAAAACACATTGTCAAAATAAGTTAGATTTTAGAAATTTGACCAAATATATTATTATTCTTCTACATCGTTTTGCGAGTTTTGTACATAAACTCCTTGGAGGAAGATGACATGTTATGTGAGCATCACACTTAAAAGCTCTTTTAAAGAGTTTCAAGTGACATTATATGTGAATATTTTATCTTTTCCTTTTGACTGAATTAGGTTAAAATCTAATTTCAAACCCAAATGGTAAAATGTTCACCACACCCTATGAACAATCATGCATACATTGGGTAAGGTGGACTCATTTTAAGATTTTTTATTTTCTTTTCTTTCACATCAAATTATTTCAATATTTTCGTATACATTCAACTAGGGGGTTTTCAATTTAAAGAGAATTATAGTCCATGAGGTAATAAAAATATTTGATAATTTAAATATGAAACTGTAAAATGATAGTAATAATTGAGATTTTTTAAAATCTATTCGGTCTGTTTACCATGTTATTGTAACACTCGAGAAGTCTAAAATCCTTATCAGATCTAGAAAGTTCATAAATCAAGTCTGTAGAAATTTTTGTCATCTACGAACAGCATGTACGGGTCGTAGATGGAACCACAGATTGTAGATAAGGCTCGTAGAATCAACTTCAGAAGTTTAATGAGGCAAGTTTACGGATCATAAAACCATTTGTGGGTCATAGATGATCTCGTAGATCAAGTTCTGAAACTCAATATTTGATCTAACTTTTATGGACACTGTCTAAAGTATGTATATGGAACCATGGACCGTAGATATGTCTCGTAGATCAAACTTCAGAGACTCAGAAATTGACCTGATTTCCACGGGAGATATCTACGGACCATAGATCAATCCATGGACCGCAAATGGTTTCGTGAAAGCTTCCAATAGCAATTCTCTCCCATGATCATTTTGGTCTTTTTTCACTCTTTTAATTCCTATACTATGTCGTTGTGGCCTATTCTAAAGGGGATTAAAGAAAAGTTAATTGACTAAACCTCCTTATTCACACTTAACACCAAGAAAATCAAGTTCCTTACGTTCAAAGTTCCTTCTGAGTAAGAACTAGGGTTCCACAGTTTCAAGTCTCAATTTAAGGATTCAAGCTAGTGTTTCCATTCCAGGTACCTGAAATTTTATCAATGGGTAATCCTTGTAATGCTACCTCTATGCTACTTATGTGTTTTAAGTCTATTCTCTCTGTCCATTTACATATGTATTGTCAAGCATTGCAATTTTATAGCAGGTTGGACCAAGCTTGTGAGACCATAAGTGCTTGTTTCTCAAAAAATAAAAAAGTGAGGTATTCTGCAAAAAAATTTTTAGGAGAAAACAAGTATTTTTTGGTGAGTAGCAAAGTTGTTCTTTAAAAGCTGAAAAAAGTAATTTCTCCCTTAAAATACTATTTTGGAACACTTTTTTTTGTGTTGTTGAGAAAATACACGTAAAATGCACTTTTTAAATATTTGGTCAAACATTAATTGTTGCTCAAATGTGTTTTTTTTTAAATTGATTAGTCAAATCTAAATTAATACTCACTAACAGTTACTATTCTTCTACATCGTCTTACGATACTTAAACTCTTTGGAGGAAATATGAAATGTTATGTGAACATTGCACTTCAAAAGCTCTTTCAAAGAGTTTTAAGTGGTAGTGTACGTGAATTTTTTACTTCTGAGTAAATTAGGTTAAAATCTTCCTCAAATTATTACCGTTTCATCAGTTTCATACCTAAACGATAAAATATTACAAAATCCTTTGAACTACCATGGATTCATTGTGCTAGGTGGATTCATTTTAAGACTTTTTTTTTCATCCCTCTCGTGTTTCTCATCATGTTACACCAATATTTTATCACATTCAACTACTAGAGTTTTCAATCTAAAGAGATTTATTTTTTAGAAGATAACAAAAACACTTAATAATTTAAGTATGAAACTCAAAAAATTTGATAGTAATAGTTTAATTTTTAAAACCTATTCAGTCTATTTATTACGTTATATGTTGAAGGTCGCTACAAGTGCAGTACATTTAATTAAATGCAAATGACAAATTCAACTTGTGTTATCTTAAGATATTGGGAAGTGTAAATTCATAAACCTCTAATATAAAATCTTAATTAAGTGACTTATTAAACCTGTAAATTACCCAAAAATTAATTTCTAGGCAATTATTTTGGTATAAACATGTTTTTTCTATTTTCATGCCACAATTATTGATAATAGTCGATATTTTTGCTATCAACAAAGTTTGGTATGAATTAAATGACGTTCTTTGTTGGGTTATGAAGGAGATTAAGGCGTCATGCGGAAGCTTACAATTGCAAATCATATAGTTGATAAATCAGATAACAAAAACTTATACTAAAAATCAAAATATTATTATATCAAAACTAATATAAAGAAAAACATTGAAACTTTAGAGAAAATAAATCTCCCCATAAACAAAACTCTTAAACGACTACATTGTGAATGTTATTGTTATTGTGTTAGAAGAAACAAACCTATATTTATAGAGTCCTAAAACCTTTCCTACTAGAAAAGGGAGTCCTAAAATGAGAGAATAAACCAAATATAAAATAATATTATATTTTCCTTTCAAGAAAAGTAAAAACATTTATGGTAAAAACCCTAATTTTGTAACCTCGACCGTCGTCAATGGATTTTCCGGCCACTGGCCAGTCCCCTCAGATGACTGGTCAGTTCTCTATAACCTCACCAGACCAATTTCCACATCTGTACCATCCTAAGAGTGCCAGCAAGTTAGATATTAATTTGCCTAGCGTACTTATGGAGATAAATAAGAGTGATTACAACCGACCAGAAGACAAGGAGACTGATGCAGTGAAGTCGACTATAAACAATTCTGAGGAGAATAATACCAAAGTTAAATATTCTGATATGCTGAAAGGCGACAATTCATACATTGACAAAAGAAACACGTTGGAGCCGATCGCTATAAAGCCTGTTTCTTTCGTAAATGGAATACCTCGTGTTACTTGGACAGAGGAGGAGGTAGAGAAGATGAATATCATGGAAAATCTGCAGTTAGCCATAGTTGGGAAATTTTCATATGGTTGGCCCGAACTAGAAGAATTGAGAATTCAAATTCCCAAACAATGTGGTATAAAAGGGGATTGTCGGATTGGGCTTTTGAGGAACAGACACATTCTGATAAGATTAAATAGAATGGAGGATTTTGTGAACATCATGGCTAAAAATGTTTATTATATTATGGCAAAGGACGGGTATGCCTATCAAATGAGGCCTCTAATCTATGACTCCAAATTTAAGCCGGAGGAGGAAACAACTCAAGCAATGGCCTGGATTTCCTTCCCAGATTTATTGCCTACTTTCTTTGGAAAGGAATCTTTGTTTTCTATTGCAGCGGCTGTGGGTAAGCCAATCCACCTTCATAAAGCCACGATCAACAAGACTCGACCTAGTTGTGCGAGAGTGAAAGTACAAGTTGACTTAGCAGCAGATTTACCTAGGCAGGTGGAGATTGAAGTGGTGGACAATAAGCATAACATGGTTAGAATGGTAGCTATCACTGTTCAGTATGATGTTTTACCCAAATACTGTAAAACATGCAAACTTCAAGGTCACTCAGAGGTGGAATGTAGAGTAATTCACCCAGAATTAAGAGAATTGTTTGAATCAAAGCAGATTAAGGAAGATCAGAATGCAGATGAGGAGGAACCTGGAGAAGGGAAACAAAAGAAGGTTAGAAGAGGGAAGTTTCAATACATGAGGTGGAATCCCACAAAAAGAAGATTTAAAAAGGATATGAACACTGGAGAATATTTGCTTGATGTTGGGCAGGATCAACCAGAAGCAGCAAAAGGCATTCATCTAAACAATAATTTTAGCACTCTGCAGGAACAAGGAGAAGAAGGAACAATGATAGACAGTGATGATCAATATAACACGAGAGAAGAAAATCATACAAAAGGGAATGAAGAATTTACAACTATACAGGAGTCTCACATTAATAATAAATCGCAAATGATTATTTACAAACCTCAGGAGATGATTTCAGTGGTGGAGCAGCAGTTGAGGTCAACTGTAGTAAGAGATCAGCAGGTCCCTGTAGTGGTAAACAGTGAGTTAATTGATAAAGCTGTAAATGATGTAGAAGATGTTATGAGTAATACATTGAGAGCACAGGCTGATATAGTTGAAAGATCAGTAACATCGGGGACAGAAAATGAGCAACAAAGACGAGAGTTGATATTGTCTTTGCCAAATGCAAAGTATCCTGAACCTATTCAAATGTATGATGAAATGGATGGTAATGGGATATCCTCTTACCCTTCAAGAAGCATTGCTCATCACGTACTTCAACAGGGGGATAATATGCACACATTGACTAAGCCTCAAACATTAATTCCCTGCACAAAAACAAGGCCAATTAGCAATTTACATGAGTTAGTCTCTCACCAGATGCAACAAACTGAAATCAGTGATGACAAGGAACATGAGAGTATGAAGAAGGTGGAGGATAGGGAGGAACAAGTCAGTATGATGTTTTACCCAAATACTGTAAAACATGCAAACTTCAAGGTCACTCAGAGGTGGAATGTAGAGTAATTCACCCAGAATTAAGAGAATTGTTTGAATCAAAGCAGATTAAGGAAGATCAGAATGCAGATGAGGAGGAACCTGGAGAAGGG